GAAGCCCCCGAGACGGTCCAAGAGGAACCCCCCTCGCCAAACGATCGGTCCAAAACGCCGCCTTCACGCCGTCAGACTGCCCAGGAGGCCTCCAGGACGCCCCAAGATGCCTCCAAGAGCCCTCCCGAGAGGAGAGGACCCCAAGAGGCCAAATGCACTGATTTCCCCATGGTTTCTTTCCTGTGGGCGTTCTCGCCATTTCCACATCCCGCCGCTCCAAGATGGCGCAAGAGGCCCCCAAGATCGCCTCAATACGGCCCAAGAAGCCTCCAAGAGGGCCTCAAAACAGCCCGAGAGGACCCCAAGACAGCCCTAACCGCCTCCAGTACGGCCCAAGAGGCCCCCAAGACGGCTCCAAGAGCGTGCTCAGACAGGGGGCCCAAACGGACATTTCGAGCCCTCGGCCCCAAGAGACTCTAAGGAGGCCCCAAGAGTTTCTCAAGAGGCCCCCAAGAGGCCCCCAAGAGGCCCACAAGAGGCCCACAAGGTCCCCAGGAAGCCCGAAGAGGCCCCCAAGAGGCTCCCAAGGAGCCCCAAAGAGGCTCCCAAGAGGCTCCGAAATTCCTCCCCATAGGCCCCCGAGAGACTGCCGAAGAGGCCCCAAGAAGCATTCCTGAGGACTCTGGCCCACGTCAGCGTCGTCGTCGTTGCCGCCGCCGCCGTTCTCGTCGTCGTCTTCGCCCTTCAGGGCCGGCGGCATCGGCCCGAAGGCCTTCGCAATCTGATGGTTGCCCCAGGGGTGCGCAATCGACCCTCCTGGGGTCTGCTCGGGTGCCCGGATAGGCCTGGCACTGTGTAGGGCCAGAAAGGCAACCTGAACAATGCCACAGAGCCCCCATTTGTCAGTCTGCCCACCTCGACGAACGAGTCAGAAATGATCGGACTGAGAAATGAGCGGAAGTACGCATGAGTGGCAAGTCTGGCTTACACTGGAGAGACGCCCAGCTCGTTTTGTGTGGGCCTGTTCCTATGCATGGCGGAGGGGGCCGAATGCCATCCAGAGAGCATGGTCCAGAATCACGCTCTCGTCTGAGCACCTGCAGTATTTTGTCACACAGGACAGACGCCACGTTCGTGGTCCAGAATCGCGCTCTCGCCTCGGCCCCTGCTGCATTTTGCCACGCAGGGAGGACGCCGCGTTCCGTTCGCACTGGATTCTGCAGAGGATGGCGGAGGGTGGCCGTGCAGAGCCTCGCGTGCGGTGCCGAGTGCACGCTGTAGTGGTCTTGCAGTGGTGGGGGGAGGGGCCTCCTTGACCTTAGCCGGCGGCCGCCCGAGGAGAGGGAGCGTTCCCCACTGGGAGACCAGGGTCGCGCGGGATAGGCTGAAGCAGGGCAGGGCGGAGCATGACGGGGGACGAAAGGCGGGGCAAAGCAGGGTAGGGTAGGGCAACTCATGGTACAGAAAGGCAGGGCAGGGTCGACGACGGTAGGGCAGGGCATGGGGGGGGCACAGCAGGGCATGGCGGAATAGAGACGGGTAGAGCGGGGCGGGGAAGGGGCGGAGCGGGGCAGGGCAGGGAGAGGAAGGCAAGGCAGGGCAGGGCATAGTGGAGGCATAGGGCAGGGCTGGGGTGGAGGCCAGGGCAGAGGTAAACGCATGCATATTGTCGTTTGAGGACGAAGGAGCGCGATCACAAAGGTTCACCCGATTCAGCCTCGACCGTTGTGCGAATCAAAGAGGTCGCCAGGCAAACCGGGAACACCACGCGAGCCGACCTGCGATGGGCAAGCACATGCGCAAGGTGAACGTGTGCATCCTGGTGAGGGTTCGGTAAAGGTTGGGGGAGACGTTAGGGGCAGGGGGCGAGATACCGGGCCGCAGTGAGAAAAGCAAAGTAGGGAAGGAGGTGGAGAAGAGGCCAAGACGAGGAGAGGTGTACAGTGTAGCTGCCATATTCTTCCGTCCTCCCCTGTCTTATCTGCGAGGCGGGGATGCATCCATATCCACAGCCTGCAGAACCAACGCCCTGGGAACCCAGCGGGCGGTGGATATGGATATCCACCGCCTGCCGAGGTCCCCGAAGATCGCTCCCCCGGGCGATAGTTATGGATGAATTCCCGCCTCGGATTATGTGGTTGCCGTCCGCCGCCGTTCTGGACCTGTCGTTTCGGCTTACAGAGCCCCTGACCATGTTACGGTCCCGTCCTCCGCGGGGGCCACAGGCAGCACGATCGGAGCGAGCCCGCTCCCGCTGGCGCCGCGCGCTGGACAAAAGCATCCACACCGATGTCATAACCGCTGACGCGGCTCCGCCAGGTGGTAGGCGGCGACTGCCTCGGCAGGCGATCAACGGCCTCGACAGCTTCGAGCAGCATCACCTGTTCGACAGCGTCGGGCGACAGCAGCACGTGTCCGACGGCGTCGGGTACAAGCATCACTGCGAGTCCGATTCGCGTCGGACGACACCCACTACGAGAAGGTTCGGATTGATAGCGTTTCGAGGCCGTGATCAAGACCAGCCAACATTCCCAGGAGGGGGCGGCAAGGTCTACAGCCTCATCCCAGACTGGGATGGGGCGCAACAGGGCTGGAGAAGATACCGCGACGACGTAGAGATATGGGCCCTCGGCACCAACATGAAGGTGAATTACTGCGTGGCAGCCCACCTCGTTTCGATGCTGAACGGCACCGCGAGGCGCGTGGGCTTGAGGATCCAAGCGACGAGTTGCAGCCGTTGCCTGCGGCCGAGGAGCAGCGAGACGACGACGACGACGACGACGACGATCAAATCATCCAGGCAGCTGCTCCAACCGACTACATGCAAAGCCTAAACCACGTGCCGACTGCGCTGGAGCAAGCGTTTACTCCACAGTAAGCCGTGCGACGAGGAAAACAAATGTACGAATTCTTCGGGTCGGCACGCCACAACCGCAACCGCAGGCAAGGCGAGCGCATCACTGGTTGCATCCCGAGGTTCGAGGAAGGCACCCAGCGCCAAGAGGACGACGGAATGCAGTTCGCCGAAAGTGACGACGTTTTCGAATGGCGGTGTCTCAAGAAGTTTAGCCCATCTACAGGCTGGGAAATGCTTTCTCCTAATGCCGCCACATGGTCCAATGCCGCATGACAAGAGGACTTGTGCGAACGATGGTTGCCCTGTGTGATACGGTGGCCCAAAGCACTACGATTCGGATGTCCACACCAACTGTCATGTTATACTGTAGCACAACAGTGCAGAATGTGGGCCAATATGTGTTCAGTGCACTCCGTCCTGTTTCGCGTGTTTGCACCCACGACGTTTGTGAAATGTCTTCACTGTCATACACACATCGACAACACCCAATGTGTCTTAGGAACGCAGACGGGCCAAAACGTTCCGAATGTTTACGCCCACCGCGTGTGAATGAATGATTCCTTCATTTCCTTGCACCATGTGGCAACATACAGTGCGTCTCGGAGCGTCCGGACACCCCACCCAGGCCCAAATCAGGCGAAACCAAAGCGAAGCCAGGCAAATTGCGAGGACGCCTCGGGCGAAACCGCGCCGAAACCAGGCGAAACCAGGCAAATGACGAGGACGTCTGAAGCAAAACCAAGCCCAAACCAGGCGAAACCAAGACGAACGAAACCAAGCAAATTGCGAGGACGTCTCAAGCGAAACCGCGCCGAACCCCCCAAAAAATACAAGGACGTCTCATGCGAAACCGGGCCCAAACAATGCGAAACCAAGGCGGAACCAAGCAAATTCCGAGGACGTCTCAAGCGAAACCAGGCCCAAACCAGACCAAACCAAAGAAATTGCGAAGATGTCTCAATCGAAACCGGGCGCAAACCAGGCCAAACCAAGGGCCAAACCAATCAAATTCGGATGATGTCTCAGGCGGCTAGCGCCGCCCAACCAGGCCAAACCAGGGCCCAAGCCAGGAAGATTTTGAGGACGTCCCAAGCATAATAGCCTAAACCCCAGGCTCCACCCACTCTCCTGAACAAGTGGCACGCGTGCTCTGGCTCTTGCACATATGAAGAAAAAAAAAGGAGGGGGCGCAGGTAGGAGGATCGAGGAAACAAGGACGAGGAGGAGGAGGAGGAGGAGGGGCAGGTGGGGCCAGGGCGCCCCGGTGCTGAATCAGCGGTTGTCGATTGGGACCTGATCGAATGAGTTTTTGGCAGCTGAAGCGCGACAGATTTTTCAAGGCTGTGCCAGATGGGGAGGCTGGGTCCAGGGACAGGGCCAGCGGGACGAGGGGGGCTGGGACAAGGACCAGGACCAGGAGAGCGAGGGCGGCTGGGGCCAGGTCAGGGAGGTAGGCTGGCTCGAGGGCCAGGACCAGGACCAGAGGGACGACGCCGACCGAAAATAAAGGGTCCGGCGCGAGGGGGGCTGGGGCCCGGGCCAGGGGAGGAGGCTGGGTCCAGGGCCCGGCTGTGGTAACCAACAACGGACTGCCTGTGAAATGTAATGTGTCGGCTATGTGGTAACCATCAAGTCCGAAGGCCAAAACGCCCACCCCCAGGACGAAACATTTTTCCTCTTGGGCCCGGAACGACGGCTCGAAGTCTTAAGCAAACGCGTATGAGATAACCGCCGTCGGATCCCATGAAATTCGCGCAGATCCAGGTGTGGCCTTGGTGTTTGTTTCGGTGGATCCGATTTCCATCCGCGCGGATCCGATTTCGGATTTACTGGATCCGTGTTCGGGCGTTTTTTGGACGGCGGATCCTATTTTCACCACTTTAAACTTTATGTTAGTATTAAATTAAGGTGGGGAACCGGAAGAAATCGGATCCGCGGACCCGGAACCCGCCCGTGTGAAGACTCTACGGGGGAAGGGGGTTCGGTCATCAACTTCCAACTCATCATCGCCATCTGCACCTCAAGAGGTAAGTCTTTCGTCCTGTTTAACCACATATGCGACCGACTTGCTGCTGACATCCACACACGTGCCCGATGAGCCGCACCTGAACGTCATGAGATCGGGAAAGGTACGATGACGGGCGCCACCCCCCGTCTCGACGTTGGCCTGAGACAACGCTGGGGCGGCTGGCACTGGACCTGGCTAACCCTTGAGAGTGCCCGCGGCTGCCGACCCTGCGGGCCCGCGTGGGCCGCCCGCTCGACCACCGCGGGTGGGAGAGGCGCCCTGTCGGGCCCGCTCGACGGCTGCCGCGAGCTTCGCCGCCAGCGCCCGCTGCTGGCCCTGGTCCAGAGCCTTGGTCCCCTCGTCGCCGTCGAGAATGTCATCGAAAGTCCTAGTGTCCACCTCCATGGCTGCGTCGTCCTTGGGCCCCGCTGGCGCCTGAGCCTCGGATGAAGGCTCTGGCGTTGGTGGCCTGAGGTGAAATCGCGGCGAGTTGTGCCTGCAAGGCCGACCAGAGCTGCTGGCCCTCTTGGTCCAAACGGCCATCAGACGCAAGAGCACCAAGCTTCGAGCCCCAGCCTGCAACCTGTCGACCGAAATCATATGAGGACGGGACCCTCCAAGGCGCAACAGCCTGGGCTCTGGCGGTGGCCAGCTCCTTCTCGATATCGACCTTCCAATGCTTCTCTTGTTCCCATTCCTCCTGCAAAAGTTCGATCTGCTCAGTCAACTGTGACGTACGAGCATTGCAACTCTGGAGGTGCTTCTCCTTCTTCTGAACGACTCGGCACGACGGACCAAAACACTGGCACGGAGCTGGTATTCACGAACCTGTCGCACATTTGACTGGACTCTTTGCAACAAAACCACGCCAGTCTCTCCAAGCTACTCGAACTTCGAGCCTGCACCCTCGATGAGCTGGTGGGGGCAATCTGCTGCGCCGAGCTGTCGGAGCTGGTGTTGGTGTGCCTGTGACCTCCCTCGCTCAGCTTTGCCCGCACGACCTTGGCCTTGGCCCTTGGAAGTCCACGTCCACGCGCCCCAAAACTTGCCCCCTTTGCCTTTGTCCGCATTGTCAGAGTAGGCCCACACGCCTGACGCCTTGGGCAAAGGTTGGCTGGGGACATGGCGCAGGTCGGTATCACAAGCATAACACCACTTGTAAAGGGTAGGATTCCGACGAAAGCCGCAACCACCGCACACAAGATTGCCTCGAGAGAAGTTACCATCCTTGCCCGACATGGGCAAACAACGCGTAAACAAGGGAAACTGTGGGGCGAAACCGTTGCAGTCAGTGAAACAGCAAGGGAGCCTTACTTCAGCACACAGACTGGAAACCGTTGGGACCGCGAACTCCCCTTGCCGAAATGACATCCGTCTCTGGGTAATGCCTCTGGACTTGAGCCAAAATGGAAACGGCACTCCTCCTGATCCTCCTCATCATCATCAGCATCAGCAGACATCATCAACAGCAGCATCAGATTCATCATCAGCATCATCATCAGCATCATCAGCATCATCATCAGCATCATCAAACATCATCATCAGCAGCATCAGCATCAGCATCATCAGCATCAGCATCAGCATCATCATTATCATCATCAGCAGCAGCATCATCATCATGATCATCATTGTCATCAGCATCATCATCATCATCATCATCATCATCATCATCATCATCATCAGCATCATCATCAGCATCATCATACCGCTCCTCCTCCTCCTCCTCCTCCTCCTCCTCCTCCTCCTCCTCCTCCTCTACTCCTCCTCCCCCCCCTCCCCCTCTCTCCCCCTCCCTCTCCCCCTCCCCCCTTTACCCCCTCCCCCCTCCTCCTCCTCCTCCTCTTCCTACTCCTCCTCCTCCTCCTCGCCCTCCTCCTCCTCCTCTTCCTTCTCCTCCTTCTCCGCATCCGCCTCCGCCTCCTCTTCCTCATTCGCCTCCGCCTCCGTCTCCTCCTCCTCCTCCTCCTCCTCCTCCTCCTCCTCCTCCTTCCCCTCCTGCTCCTACACCTCCTCCTCATCCTCCTCCTCCTCCTCCTCCTCCTCTTCCTCCTCCTTTTCTCGGCAGCAGCATCAGAATCAGCATCAGCATCAGCGTCAGCAGCAGCAACAGCATCCTAATCATCATTGTCAGCATCAGCATCCTCATCAGCAGCGGCATCATCAGCAGCATCATCAGCATCATCATCAGCATCATCATCA